GAGCTGCATACATCTAGGATCTCCACTTTACTAAAAAGGGTCACAGGTGGCAAGACCAGTTCATGTGTAAATTCTACTGTTTTTGAGCCTTCATTTCCAAAGTTGAATCCTAAGTTGGTCACTTGCTTACTTCAAAACTAACTAAGATCGGGCTTTTCCGTTTCTTTGGTGTAGTGATGATTGACTGACTTTACATCTCCCTCTCTCTATCTGCATGATTGGATCTTAATAATCTTACATATAGGCCATGTGCTTAGATACCCACGTTCTGATCTAACTTCATTTTTCTATTTAGATACAAGCAAGTGGGGCCTCTTTTTCTTCTTATTTTATTGACTGATTAGATATTGTAGTAAGGTACATCAAATTACCAACCTTAGTTAACAAAATGAAGCAAGTATACAATGTTTTTAGCGCCTTGTTTTCTTGTGCTCCGTGTTTAAGAAAATGTTGCCAACATCTAGAAGAACTCAACTACTACTAAAAAGAGAATAGTTCAATTTCCCTTCTCTTGCTTAGACCTTAGTCAATGCTTCTTTTATTTATGCAACTAACTATGTAATTGACTATGATATTACTTTATGTCATCAACTAACGCAAAAACAGGAAAGAGATGATTAAAATAGACCTTTATTTAGATTCTCTGATGTTAACCATCTTTAATACATAAAAGGATTACTTCTACAAAAAGATTCTACCTATTCTCACCCACTACAGGCAGAATTGTTATTTCTACTTACAGATTTTATTCAAGGCAAGATGTTAATGTCGCCTATGAGTTTACCGTGTAAAAATCTCTTGTTTTTCAGTTAATAGAATCACAAACTGGATATGAAATGCTGTTTAGAAGTCTGTTTATATATGCAAGATACAGTGTTCCTACCACTATCTGCATCTTTGTTCTTTCTTGCTCGTGTTTGTTGACCACTCTGCCACATTTTCTTAAGTATGCAGAAATGTTTGAGTTGGTAAATGAAAATGCTCTCTTGTACAAAAATTGTCGATTAAATGATTTGTGATAAATACTGTGCTAGCTCGCTTCCTTCATGAACTCTAGTGTTAAAAGATTTTAGAATCATATACAGGTCAGTTATACACCCTTATGTTTAGAATACTTTCTGTTGGCTCCCATAATTTTTTATAGTCGATCCCATGTTACATCATTGCTTAGGTTGATATGTCTGTTGATGGAATTACATTCTTTGCATAATACAATTTTGTGTGGCTACAGGCCACCGAGATCAAATGTTGATATTTGTATCTATTATAATGCAAGGTTGATAGATGCTTTGGAGATGATGAAACAAGGAGTGAGACGACTTCTGGTTCCGAAAAGCGTTGTTTGGAGAGGTATGAGCAAGAGATTCTCCATTCTTTACAACGGAAAATGGCTGAAGAACAATGAAAACTCTAGCAGTAGCAGTGGTCTCGCTGCTGACTCCACCAACAGGCCTGCTACGTCCATGGCTTCTAGCCGAGACAAGTTTTGCTGTCTCTCAAGGGAAGACGTGATTCGCTTCCTTATAGGTGTCCTTGGAGCTTTAGCTCCGTTACCACTGACATCAATATCTTCTCTGGGAATCATCAATCTAAATTATAACTTCATTGAAGCCTCTCTTCCAGCCATTGAAGCCACCCGAAGGCCACCCTGTGACCCTAGTGCGATCGCCGTGTTGGAACAAACCGAAAACGAACAACAGTTCAAGATAATAGGAGAAATATCCGCTTCAAAGCTCTGGAAATGTGATTATCTAGCTGCAGCGTGGGCTCTAGCTAATCTCTATGCAGGACAGTTTGTGATGGGAGTTGAGGACAACATGTCATCTAGATCATTCAACGACTTCCTCCAGACTTCATTTGTGGGAGGAGAGCAGAACGGAACAGCAACAAAGGCCAAGAAATTCAGTAGCAGGAGCATCGGTTTTAACCCAACAAGCCCGACAAGGTTAAGCATCGGTAGGAGCATGTACAGGGGAAGAAGTGCGCCTTTAACTTGCAAAACATCGAGCTCATTGGCTGCGGTTATGGCTCAGATGCTGTCTCATAGGGCCACACATGTATGGGTTACAGAGGCTGATTCTGATGATGTTCTTGTTGGAGTTGTGGGCTATGGAGAGATCTTGGCTGCTGTTACTAAACAGCCTTCATCTTTTGTTCCTTCGAATCGGTCTTATGAAGGTTTTGGGAATGAAAATCAAACCTAAGAATTTCTTTGTTTGTTTTCCTGAGAAAAAGGACGATAGTTTTGGGTGCTGGTCAATTTGAGTAGAGAGTATCAGAGCTCAACTAAGCAAAAATACACAACTAAGCTATTTTTTTGGGACTCAGAGCTGTTTCGCATTACCATGTGAACTGTTTGTTTGTTGGTAAGAGCATGTACAATGCTGGTTCTTAGAGCATGTTTTTAGTATTTATGTGATTTAAATTAATTGATAAATGGTAATTATGTATAAAAACTGCTCTTAGTTAAGATTAATTTCAGTATGTTTCTTACATACATAAACATTATTGGTTTGCGAG